CAGACCCTGGGGTGGGATTTCCCAGAGTGGTCAGGTGGAAGTTGGGCCCAAGACAGGGGCCAAAGCAGCTCACCTCTGCACTCTCTGGGGGCCAGAATAGCCCAGCGATCTCAGCAGAGTCAAGGTCCCTGGGTCTTCAGGGATGGATTCAGTCTGCCTTGGAACTTTCTTTGTTTCTCCTGTGCCTCTTCTTGTCCTCATTCTACTGGTTTGGGATAGTTTACTGTGAATTCTGGCTTGTTTCCTGGTCAGGTCATGAACTTCCCATTTCTGTTCTGTACCTTCCTGGGCTAGGCCTGCCATGGATAGCCAATGACTGATGTACCATTCTGAGGGCCTCACAAGAATGCCAGAGAAAGGCTTGTTCACAGAGGCTTCCTAAGCAGCCTCCATGGGCACATACTGCGAGTTCAGATGGTCAGAGCTTATCTGGTGACTGTTACCTTCCGCAAGAGACATTCTGCTCTGTTGTTTTGAATGTAACGTCTGGTCTTCTGAACCGCATTTGCAAAGGCATTACCAGGTCAACATGAAATTAGAACTGCACAGACACTAAGATAACAGCATACAGCTTGGGTTTTGTTTAGATGACATGACTCTTTGAGACATTATTGGTTTGTATCAACAGTGGTCACAATCTGGGCGTGCATCAGGGCACCTGGCCACCAGGCAGGCTCCGAGGGAAGGTAAAGCACCATCCAGGTATGTTGATCACCAAGTTCCATGGGACCTACCCTGGATGCCTCCTCCGTTTTGACTTCCAACTCTGTTGGCATCCTCTGGGGACTGTGTGCAGAGTGTACATTGCTGAATTCTGTGAAGGAGATAATGTAGGCCAGCCAGCAGCATGGCTTAGGTGCATGACTGGGGCTATGCTTGCAGCTTCTTGTCCTCTGCCCTCTGTAATGTCGGCTCTTGTGAGGGCAGCAGGGATCAGAAGGTGGATAGAGTGGGTCTCTCGCTGACCTGGGTTGTTTGGAGTTTGAAGGACACATGGAGTAACATGGCTGAACTCTGAAGGATATCCAAGAGCCGTCTCTGGGAGCTATGCCAGGGTATCCTGGGAGCTCAGTGGATGCAGAGGCCTGAGGCAGCCCAGGGAGCCTTTGCATAGGCTACAGCAGTTGAGACACAGACTGGCAGGGAGCCTTCCTGCTGCAGTGGTCACTGGCTTTCCCCTGTGTGCTGAGGCCATCTCCTCAGGCTTACACCAGACCAGGCCCACTGGCTGTGCTCTTCTAGCCATGGCCCAACCTTCAGCCCTTCTCAATGGGAGCCTCCACAATGTCTGCTTCACCTGGACCATGTCCAGAGTTGTGTCTCATCAACCTGTGAATAGGGCTTTGTTCTTAGGAATTACTTAACACCATGTTTCATGTCAGCAAGCCCAGGTGAGTTCCTTCCTGAGAATGCATAGCCATGGACTCAGGCCGGAGCAGAGAAGGGCCTAGAGGGAGGGAGAGGGGAGGCCAAGACAGTGAAAGCATACCCAGGAACTCAGTTTGCAAGGCAAGAAAGGATAGTGTGGAAAGCACCGGGCTGGGCTGACAAGCAGCAGCAGCAGCAGCGCTGATGGCTGGGTCAGTGGGCAGCGCCAGCCATGTGAGTGGGCAGTGCAGATGGTGGGGGTCACTGGCTGGGTCAGCTGGCAGTGCTGATGGTGGGGGTCACTGGCTGGTACTGGCTGAGTGGGCAGTTCTGGCTGCAGGAATTGTCAGCTGCTTTTCTCTACCTGAGCAGTTGCAGGTGGTTTGATTTGGCCCACAGATGGCTGTTGGGACGAGAGCTTGCTGACAGCTGGAGACAGGAGTCAGCTGGACACTGTTTACATGTGTTTTAAGTATTCTAAAGTCCACGCAGTAAGATCTAGAAGATGTCTACAGGTGAACAGCCTTGCACACAGTGTGCCTGTAGGTGTGTACCTGTCTCAAATCCCCAACAGCTAAGTAGCAACTTTATTGCTTTCAAGAAGGGTGTTTGCCACCTGCCACTGGTGAACTCACAGGCCAGCAGAAAGAGCGCAGAGATGCACAGAACCAATGCAGGGTGGCTTTGCTCTTCTCTAGAGCCCCCATGCGCTTCTCCCTGCTATAGTTTCTAGCTGGCCTCTGTTTCTTACTGGTGCTAAGTGATGGCATCAGACTGTAGTTATCTCATGACACTTTCAGAGTTGCCCAGTGGCCACTCTCATTTCTTCAGTCCCATTCTTTCTGGACTACAGAGTTCGAAAGTACTTACTGACTGCTCTCAGCTGCTCCACAAGGGCACGAGGCCCCGTGAAAGGCATGTCTCGGGGCTGGGTCTGTGTTCACAGAACACGGCTCATCTGTGTTCTTTCTTTCATGAGACCATCTAAGTCTTCAGCACCCTGAGTCCTCAGTAACTTAGACCTGTTTTGGCTCCAGGAATAAAGGTGAGAATGAGGTCACGTGAGCTCTGGGAGATGGGACGGTGCTCATTCCAGTAGCCATGTGTTCCTCTTGGAAAGGCAGCATGGAAATAGTGTCCCTCTCCTAGTGATTGTGATATACCTGTGCTCTTTGCTTCCTGTTGCTTCCCACCACTTACCAGGAAGAAGTCCTCCCACAAATCCCTTTGTTCTTTCTATTGAAACCCTTGGGTGTCCAGCAAGCATTAAGCAGGGTGCTTGCTAGGTGGAGTCACAACATCAGTCACAGACGTTGCCTAGCAAGGCAGCAGTGTGCATGTGGTGTCCTGCCAAGGTGCCTCACACTGAGATGTACACTTGCCACCTGCATGGGGTGTCTCGTCTACAGCCCCTCTGAGAGAGATTCTGCCTCTCATGGGTTCCAGGTGAGCAGCTGTTGCACAAAGGTCTCAGTAATTGCCCAGGTCTTGTTGTCAGGCAAAGGGCTTTGGCCTCTACCCTAGGCTCTGGACTTTCGGGCTGTACTCCAAACACTTGCCCTCATTATCACCCTGGTGAATCTTGCAAGTCCTCAAGCTATAGTGTCTTCCTCTGAAATAATAGGGTTTGCTCTCAGAGCTGTGGTGCAGTTTACTATCATTGGTAAGACAGTCAAACCTGGCTGTGGCTCACCACATGTGTGACAGAGAGACCCAACACCACAAGTGTCTTGTGGTGGAGGGATGACATGGGTTTCGGAGCTGAGACAACAGGTACCCACTGAAGAGGCCTAGCCACTCAGATGGACATCTCAGCAGCTTCTAGTGCCCACAAAGGCAGGATGGAGCCACATGAGCAACGTTTCATGGCCAGAGAGCACATGCAAGGTTGGAAGGCAGGACTCTGTGTACTGGCAGATGATAGGCTTTGCATGGGCAGCCAGATTGTCTTCATGAGACCATGGTTTGGCTCACTGGAAGTGCCAAAGCCAACACCAAGCCTACTAATTAGGATGAAAGAATTCACTGGGCTGGTTTGGCATCTTAGATGTGAGGTGCAAAGCTTTGTCTACTCTCTCCTTGTCATTGAGCAGCAACTACGTGGAGAACCTGTGGCTGAAGAGGCAGGGGTGCCACTCACTGGGTTTTGCAAACACATGCTCGACACTGGCACAGAAGCATATGAAGAAGGCCTCAAAGCAGTTTGCTTTTCTTCCTGCTATTATGGTAGAATCCAGGACTGGTGTTGAGTTGTCCTATGTGGGATCCAGGGCTGGTGTTGGGTGGCCCCTGGATGAAGCTAGATGGGTATTGAATGGTTCAGTGTGGGTCAGACTACCCTTCTCACAACATACCATTTCTCAGATTCAGTTTTTCTAACACATGTAGAGAATGAAGCACAGAAAACAGGGCAGAAAAGCAGCCCGTGGAGCTTGGCCCTGAGTCTTCAGTAACTTAGACTCCAGAGGTAGTTAAGAAAATGTCAGTGTTGTCACTGATGGGGAACAGGTTTTACAACACTCCAGTCCTTCACCTCGAAGGGGATGAGAGGTTATTCTGGAACCAAATGTGAGTGTTTGTGGCTGGGAGCAGATTTGTGTCTCTGTGGTAGCAAGACCTGTGTTATAGCAACAACAAAAGAAGTTATGAATGAAGGCACTTGGTTACCCCAGGTGGGTGAGTTCTAGCACAGTAGAGAAAGCTGCTCTAGGCCTCTGGTGCTGTCTGATGGCATTCTTAATCTTTGGGGTGGTGGAGGCTAGGAGTCTGTCTTAGTCAGTGTTCTGTTGCTGTGACAAGACCCCATGTCCGTGGCAACTCTCATAAAGGAAAACATTTAATTGGGGCTGGCTTACACTTTTAGAGGTTCGGTCCATTCTCATCATGGTGGCGTGCAGGCAGACATGGTGCTGGAGAAGTAGCTGGAACATTCTGCATCTGGATCTGTAGGCAGCAGGAAGAGAGAGAGTGACACTGGGCCTGGCTTGAGCTTCTGAAACTTCAAAGTCCAGCCCCCATGCCACACTTCTTTAACAAGGCCACACCTGCTCCAGCAAGGCCACTACTCCCTATGAGTCTATGGAAGACATTTTCATTCAAGCCACCACAGGGTCTGTTCTATATTTATCTAACAGTCACAAGGGTGGTAGGTCACACACGGGGTGGAGGTGGGGCAGCAAATGGCTTCTTAAGGGCTAAAATAGCCCAAGATAATTGGGCTCTGGACTTGGGAGTACTCTAATTCTCCATAGTCATTGTGTTGTGGTCAGTAAGCAGCCTTGCAAAGTGTTGAATGTAGTTGCAGTTTCCGCGCTGGTCACGTCAGTTAACACTACTAAGGTTTTGTCTGAAGGAAGAGGAGACACTGTTTGGTTTATGTGTTGACTTCTCCCCTTAGAACATGGTGTGAAATCTAGCAAAGACCTGCTGTGGTGTCAGTTGAGAGGGCTCTGGCCAGGGCCTCGGGTTCCAAAACAAATTTCCTGGCTGTGGTTCAAGGTGAAGTCCAGCACACTGAGAACCCTTTGTTTGCTTTGCACTGGGTTGTCCGTCCTAGGGAGATTTGCAACTAATAGATGGTTAAGTTCTGTCATCACAGCTGAGAGTGACAGTGATCTCTTTCCTTGTTGCAGGTTGTTGCTAGAAAGCCCCGACTGGTGTCTCCTGGGAAAGTTTTTTATGCCAACTTGATGGACAATGTTTCTGCTTGCAGTGGCTCCTGTCCCCTGATGCCAGCCAAGCGTGGAGAAAGGAGGTGAGGCTGAGCATGGACCAAGAAGAGCCTTCACCTCCTGCCCCTGCAGGTAGGGATCTGCTTCCTTAGAGGTGTCCTTTCATCTGGTAGTCCTCAGGGTTCTGATGGAGGACTCCAGCTTCCAGAATCACTAAATCGCTACTGCTTGGCATGGGGCAAGAAAGAAAAGGTTCATATTGCTGTATAGATGGGGCCTGAGCTTTGAGCTTTGTGCCTGTGGTTTGGCAGTGTACCTGGGTGCCAGTGAGCTAGCAGCCTATGTCCCAGCATGTGATCGGCATCTTGGATTCCATGAGGTTTCTTTGGCTTGATCCAGTGTGGGTCACACCTGAGGTGATGCGTAGCCCACATTTGGGAATAAACTCTGCCTTCCAGTCATGTTCCCTCAGGAACTGGCAACCTCTTGAGCACTGGGAGTGGACTGGGGCAGTGTTGTTCCTGCTTCCTTCCCCTGTGGGCAGCTCAAGGCTAAGCTGCCTTCTATCTGCTCAGTTGATAGAGACACAAAAAGGAACCGTTGGTTGGTTTCTTTTGAAGACTGTGTGTCAGGGACACTGGTACCCACCCTGTAGATGGAGAAGGGGGGCAAGATCTGAAGTTTAGAGTGAGCTGTGGCCATGAGGCAGCTTAACCACATGAGGCTGGCCATTCCTCCGTGTGTCCAGTACACTGCAGGTATGGACTGAAAGGGGCTTACCTTTGTCTTACACTTGGCTCTGGCCCTCCTGTCCCACTCTGTCTGCTGCATGCGAGCTCTGGGCCTATGTGGTGACACATGGGAGTCACAAAGAACATGCATACAGCCATTTCCAAGAAGCATCTAAGACCTGGAGATACCATGAAAGAGCAAGGTAGTGAGCTGGGTAGATAGAAGATTCCAGTGCAAAGGCAGTGACACTGCCACTACAAGGGGGGACACCCCCCCATGTGGGTGAAGGTTCAGGCTAAAAGCTACACCTGCTGGGGTTTTCTACACCCAGGATGCATAGGATATGAAAACAAGTTCCGTTCCAACACCTCTCTCCATGAGCATTTATAGGCACTAACAATTGCTAGTGGGGGAGAGAGGTTTGATTTTCTTCAGTGGTATGCAACCTAATGAAGCTCACTGGATCACACACACACACACACACACACACACACACACACACACACAGAGAGAGAGAGAGAGAGAGAGAGAGAGAGAGAGAGAGAGAGAGAGAGAGAGAGTACAGAGAGGCAGATCTATCAGTCATGTGGAGTGAGGAGGAGATGAGAGAGTGTGAGGGAGGGATGGGGATTATTATGTGAAATAGCTTTGATCAGGAACAGCTTCACTCCTTTCAGACCACTGGGTTGCAACATGACAGTGAGTATGTGAGCCAGGCGGTGGTAATGCACGCCTTTAATCCCAGCACTCAGAAGGCAGAGGCAGGTGGATCTCTGTGAGTTCGAAGCCAGCCTGGTCTACAAGAGCTAGTTCCAGGACAACCTCCAAAGCCACAGAGAAACCTAGTCTCCCCAAAAAAAATCTCTTGAAAAGACCCTTCAGAGGGTCTTTTCAAGTGAGTGCCAAATGGTCTGGGACTGTGAAGGTGGTACTGAAAAGGGAACCTCAGTAAGTAAGGTCTAGTGTAGCATGTGACCGCATCACTTAACTCCATTGTTTTATGTGGAGAACAATGTGGAGTACAGTGTGGCTGGGACACATTACCTCTTCTAGACCTCTGTAATCATCTCTAGCCATCCGGGCTCCTCATCCTGGAGCTCTGTTGCTGCCCTGGGGGTCACTGAACAAGCCCCCACTATTGATGGTCTTGGTTAGGCCAGTGTTGTCCAGCTGTGCCAGCTGTTGGAGTGGGCTCCCTGGTTCTGGTGGGCTGCAGGCCAGCGTTGGCATGCTTACCTTTCCATCAGCCCCACTTGGCGGCTAAAAGGGCCCCAGGTTGGATGAGCAATTTCCACCCCCCTCCCCAGTTTACTGGGGAGAAATGCACAACACAAAACTTTGGTGGTGGGGATAACACTCCACCTGTAGGTGAAGCGGTAGTGTTTTGTCATTTATTCCTTCTTCAGACTTCTGTTGAAGCTCATATGCCTTCCAGAAGCTCACTAGCACAGCTTTCAGCTTCCTGATGATTTTTTTCCCCCTGGAAACTCTGGCTTAATACAATCATGGCACACTTGCCTCGGGGTGACCTGGACAGACCCACTTGTCTGCTTGTTCCTCGTTTCTTTCTTCAGTGCTTTACGAACCCGATTTACATGCCAGTCTGCGTCATTCAGACCTGCTGGAGCCTCTCCGACCCCAGTGCGAGGTTCTGCAAGGCCAGTGAAGCCTTATGCTAGTCCCCATGCTGAATCAACTTCTTTCTTAACTCTCCTGCGAACACAGTCCTATTAACTCCAACACTGCCATTCTTGTGACTGGTTGTTCCAGTCACACTTAACCCTTCTTTGTTGTCTCCCAGTCCGTGATACTAACAGGAACCTCAGCTAGCAATAACCAACAGCCCATGAGCCATTCCACCCAGGACCGATTTCCCTCATATTGCCTCAGGACACCCAGCTTCTGTTTCTGAGGGGTGAGTGGTCTTGTCTCTAGTTTTCTCTGCTTCCACCACACCACACTCACCTTGATCCCATCCACTACCGTCTCACACAGCCTCGAAAGCCATGCTCTTAAAGGATCCTAGCTTGAAAGTCTTTGCCAACTGAAGCTATTCAGGTGCAGAGTGTTGCCTGATTTTCATGGTTTGCTGTCTGTGCCGTTATTAGGCTCCCATCATTGAAGATTTTCTTCTTCCTCTATATTGAAAACCAGATCAGAGGCTATTAGTGCTTCTGTCTCACTCTGTCCTTTGCTGTCTAATTCTACCTGTGGGTTCCCAAGACTTTGGACCCCAGGGAAGACTCTTCAGGAAAAGATGCCACTTGGACTTCCCTTCATCCCACTGTCTGTAAAAGCTGGCATCTCCATCTCTTTCTCCCTTTTCCCACTTCTCCTGCAAATCAGAGGCCGAGGCAGAGGGTGGCATCATCGACATACCTTACCCCACTTGAATTCTTTCATTGCAGGGCAAGTTCTCTCTGGCTTACAGCTCAGCCTCAGTCACATGTCTCACTGCCTCGGGCGAAGGCTACACAAGAACTGCCAAGACTTGCCTGCGATTCTCTTCCATACACGCTACCTTTATGGGTTACAATATATTCTCCAGTCTACTAGCTGGTTTGTTGGGTGTCCCTATAACCGTGTGCGATTGTGTTTCATCAAGGAGATGTGCTACCCCATACCTCAGAGAGGAAGACAGTGCTGGGGTGGAATCCAGAACAGTTCCAGTGCTAGGCAAGGTGTCTGCTGCTAAACTACACCCCGCCCTGAGAAACCCTACGTGATGTAAAATGTGTTTATTTCAGCAGTGCTTTCTTTCCCCACCCCCGCCAAAAGAGCAGTCTGGAACCATTCTAATTGTGGGGTAAAAATTACATGCCACTCCATTTTGCCAGGGGATGGTGTGAGGCGTGTCATTGTGAAGATCAAGACAACGGGCTTGTCCGGTGGATAGAGCATCTGTTAGTAAATCAAGACCTCCTCTCTTTACTTTGTGTTAGTGTGGCAAGGAGAGCAGATTTTCCTAGATCCTGAGTCACAGCACATACTTCAGATGCTGTGATGCTGTTTTTCCTCTTCTCCTCTCCCTCTGTTTTTTTTTTTTTTTTTTTTTTTTTTTTTCCCTTTCGTTTG